CAACAAGTTGGTTCTGGCTCATAACAACCCTATGGGCCACAGAGCGAAGCGCCTCCTGGTCTTGTGCCGTCTTCACAGTCATGGGCTATGTCTGAATCCGTGAATGCAGCTACTATGTCTGCCTCTGTTTTACTGACCCTCCTCTTTACCAAGCATACTGCTCTTCTCCACACGCTGGTCCCTCCAGATAGCATGTCCAAAGTACCTGAGAGCGAGTCTCTCCACCCTCCTCTTCTCGGGAGCATTCTAGCTGCCCTTCTCCCAAGGACGACTGGTTCAGTCTTCTGCCAGATTTGTTCAATATTCTTCACCGACACCATCAACCAATTCTTCGTCAGTCTTCATCATTTGTTGTGCAGTTTTCTTATGCATGTGAGACCATCGAAAACACCAAGGCTTGGGTCAGGTTCACCTTAGTGCTTAAAGTAACATCTTTGCTTTCAAACACGTAAAAGAGGTCCTCTGCAGCATACTTTCCCAATAGAACACATCGTTTGATTTCTTGACTGCTGCTTCCACGAACATTGATTGTGGGTTGAAGTAAAATAAAAACTTTGACAACTTCGATCGTTTCCCCATTTATCATAATGTAGCTGATTGGGTCAGTTGTGAGGATGTCTGCTTTCCTTTCTGTTGACTTGCAAGCCATACTGTCATGTTGAAGTGCGATCCAAAGGCTGCAGACTTGGAGCACAATTAAATGTTCTGGACGTAGAGCTAACATTCTTCCTAAAATTATGGGAGCCAGTCGTCCCTCGTTCCAACAACAGAGGCAATGGGCAAAGCAACGAATAACTAAGATTCTGTCACCGCCCCCTGGGAAATCGCTAATACTAAGAAACCTACACCACTAAGTTGCATGGATGGAAGATCCACCCAAGCATTTTTGCATCATCCCAGATGTTACACCTGGCCCAATCAAAGCATTACGTATGGTCTTTCACATGGCAACCCACAATGTATGGCCCAGTTCTAGAAACAGCTATTTGGGATTTTTCAAGTCTATTTACCACTAAAGACCATATGAATCATATTACTACCTGGGTTGGTGAAAAACCTGCTGAACCAACACAATGATGGGTTTACCTACCTTGCCACAGTGACGTTTGCCTATAAATCACTCATTGCATCCAGACCATGCATGCCCTTTTATAGCAGCTGTGGCATGATCTTACTCCAACCCCCACCCCTGCCCCCTGTTCCTCACCCCAGATGCTTTCCAAATCCTGGCAGCTTAGGGAAGCTATGGGTTACCAAGAGTACCTTTCAACTTCCCAGGCAGTGATACAGGAAGCATGCCAACCAACCATTGCTTGATTCTGAGGAAGGCATCCAAGTAGGCGACACTGCCCAGCACAGCCATATGGAAACCAACCTGGCTGCCTGCTACTTGGAAAGTGAGATCATGGAGACCATCCGCTGGCTGTGCCCTTAAGGACTGTCCATCAGAGGCCTCAGGACCACATAAAGAGCTTCCCCGTCACTTGCCCTCAGACCAGCAGTTACTCATGGCTCTGCCATATGTTCAGTTATATGACCTTGGGCAAATTACTAAACTTGTCTGTGCCTCTGTTTCCCCGTGTGTAAAAGGAGGATAATAATAGTACCTACCTTACAGATTGTGCCAAGCATCTTCAGTAAACATTAGCTATTTTTATCTCCTCGAAAACCCGCACACACCGCTTTACCTCCGGTCCCACTGCCCACTTAGGAATATGCTCTTGTGCTTTCTCCTTGAGTTACAACTGTTTGCCCACCAACATTCTGCTACCCTCATGCTGCCCAAAGTCAAATGGTCAGACTCAAATGACACTGGCTCCAGAAACATGGCTATAGCCTATGGTAATGTACAAATCAGCCCGCTGGTTCCATCCAGGATTCCAGAACCTTACACTCTGAGTGCGACTTCAATCTCACCACCCCTCCAAGGTCATGGGTGAGGATTCGGACAGTGGCTCCTGGTGGTGCCGCTCTCAGACGGAATGTGTTAAAGATGTTGATTGGAGGGTCAAAGGGAGGAAGAATAGAGGTGAAATCATGAACAACAAACCCCAAACCAAACTCGCTGCCACTGAGTCAGTGCCGACTCACAGCAACCCTGTATGACAGGGTAGAACTGCCCCTGTGTTCTGAGACTGTACCCCTTGGTGAGGGTAGAAAGCCCTGTCTTTCTCCCTTGACAGCTGGTGGTTTTCAAACTGCAGACCTTGTGGATCGCAGCCAAATGTGTAACCACAACTCCACTAGGGCTCCTTTGATCATGAACCAGTAAGCCAAATCAAGAAGGGGAGCAAGCAGGAGCTGGGGGAGAATTCCAGAATAAAAGTGGCATTCCCACCTCCCTGAACTAAGTCTGTGCTTGTCAGCGAACCGCAAACTTCCAGTGAAAATGGCAAATTCTGATCCAACGCCTGACAAACATTAGTAGCCAAGAGCGGTACAGATCTGAAGGAGTCACAACGGGCTGCCGCTCCCTGAAAACGGACGCTTGAAAATCTCAGCTGCAGAGCTGGATTTTAATCTGCATCTGAAACTGAAGGGGCCAAGCGGGTAAGGGGCCTAGTCCTTTTACAGTTTGAGTGATGGAATGGATGAAAGGCACAACTATCCACTCATCCGAGGCAGGAATCTTTTTTCTTTTTAACATTCTTTTGGTGGCTCGTACAACTTGTATCACAATCCATACATACATTGTGTCAAGCACATTTGTACATTTGTTGCCATCATCATCCTCAAAACATTTTCTTTCTACTTGAGTCCTTGGTATCAGCTCCTCATTTTTTCTCCTCCCTCCTTCATGAACCCTTGATACTTTATAAATTATTATTATTTTGTCATGCCTTACACTGCCCGACGTCTCCCTTCACCCACTTTTCTGTTATCTGTCCCCAAGGAGGGTGCTATATGTAGATCATTGTGATTGGTTCCCCCTTTCTCCCCCCACCTTTCCCTTACCCTCCTGGTATCGCTACTCTCATTATTGGTCCTGAGGGGTTTATCTGTCCTGGATTCCTTGTGTTTCCAGTTCTTATCTGTACCAGTGTACATGCTCTGGTCTATCCGGATTTGTAAGGTAAAATTGGGATCATGATAGTGGTGGGGGAAGAACCATTAAAGAACTAGAGAAAGTTGTATGTTTCATTGTTGCTATACCGCACCCTGACTGGCTCGTTTCCTCCCCTCGACGCTTCTGTAAGGGGGTGTCCAGTTGCCTACAGATGGGCTTTGGGTCCACACTCCACACTCCCCCCTCATTCACAATGATATGATTTTCTGTTCTTTGATACCTGATCTCATCCACACCTTGTGATCACACAGGCAGGTATGCTTCTTCCAGGTGGGCTTTATTGCTTCTGAACTAGGTGGCCGCTTGTTTAACTTCAGGTCTTTAAGACCCTGGATTCTATGCTTTTGATAGCCAGGGCACCATCAACTTTCTTCACCACATTTGCTTATGCACCCACTTTGTCTTCAGCTTTGTGTCAGGAAGGTGAGCATCATGGAATGCCAGCTTAATAGAACAAAGTGTTCTTGCATTGAAGGAGTACTTGAGTAGAGGCCCAATGTCCATCTGCTACCTTAATACTAAACCTATAAATATATGCCATAGACCTATTTCCCCATCGTCATATATAAATATATTTACATATGTACATGCCTGTATTTAGACCTCTATAAATGCCCTTTGGCTCCTAGTTCTTTCCTCTGTTCCCGCTTGCTTTCCTCTTGTCCCACCATCATGTTCAGCCTTCATTTGGGTTTCAGTAATTCCTCTCATTTACATTGCCCTCAATCAAGCCCTGCCAGGCCTCCTACACCCCCCAAGGCTGGAATCTTGGAGCCGCCAAAGACCAGGTAGTCCCTCTGCTCATCCCTCCACTAAGTCCTGCTTTTAAATTAAAAATATATATATTGCCATATAATTCACGGGCCATACAATTCAGTGGTTTGAATATATTAAAAAGAGCTGCCCTTTCATCACCACAATCACGTTTAGAACATTGTCTTCATTTTTGTACTCATTAACAAGTCATGCGCTTTTGTGTCTGACATTTTTCTCAAAACCATCCCCTCTTGTGAAGGGTTCTAAGATATAAGCTAAACCTGGCTTGCTTAGGCAGAACGTGGACTTATGAAGGGTTTATTGAGGGAATACATTAAAAACTTTGATAGGAATGGAGAATCGAACTTGGTAAGTAGTAGCCAGAAAAGACTTTACCTGGTTTCAGCTGCTTTCCAGCCTCAGCTTTGATTCACAATCTAGAGCAGATGTATTTGATTGGTTTAGCTCAAACTCTATGCCCATGCCCGGCTGCAAAAGAGGATGCTCTGTGTAGAAGGGCTGGTCTTTCCCATTCCTATAGAGCAGCGGTTCTCAGCCTTTGGGTCGAGACCTCTTTGGGGGTTGAACGACCCTTTCACAGGGGTCACCCAATTCATAACAGTAGCAAAATTACAGTTATGAAGTAGCAACAAAAATAACTTTATGGTTGGGGGGGTCACCACAACATGAGGAACTGTATGAAAGGGTCATGGCATGAGGAAGGTTGAGGACCACTGCTCTAGAGCTACCGGCTTTGCTTTATTCAGAGGGGATTCCCAAACAACACGAGGGGTTGAGACGCTAGGTAGCCACTGCACTGCCTTCCAACCTCAGCCTCTGCCCCTCTGTACTTCATCTGAGAAGGAGCACGGGGTCCACAGTCAGCTTTCTGGTGCCTTTCTACCACGTCATCGCAGTGGGCTGGGTGCCGGGATTACCACGTCCCCAGGATTACCCTGTCCCAGGGATTCTTTTTGACTTACCCTCCAAGACATCACTCAGAATAAATTCTTCTTACACCAATTGAAGCTTTGCAAGTATGCAAGCCCCAGGAAAGAAGTATCCACCAGTAGAAAGATCTTTTAAAGAAAACAAAAAAACCCTACACCAAACCTGTGTATCTATCCAATATTCTGGTTCCACCAGGAGACCCCTCAAGGTGAGGTTGCAGTAAGAGATGGGTGAGGGAGGACTTATGAACACTGAGCTCTCCCTCCTTCCTCCCGCCCATCACAAGCCTTGGAACTGGGTGTGAGTGACTGACTAGGAGACCTGGGAATCAGGATCGATGTCAGGTACTCAGCAAGCCTGCTCTCATTTCAGAGCAACAAGAACCGGAGTCCACTTGGCTTCCCCACATCGTCTCCGAAAATGGGAATTATTCTGTGCACCACAACAGCCACCGAAGATACCAGGAAGCTGTACAGAAGGTGTTGTTAAAGACATGTAAGTACAGGTCTGAGCCCATCAAAAAATGGCTGGGATCTGATGAGATATGGGTAGTGGCAGAGCCAGGAAGAGAGTGGGCTCCAAGAGTCAAGTGGGAATGGTAGTATCACTCCATCAGGCTAGGAAGCAGGGGGGCCCAGTGTGAGGCCTCGTTCGGCCTCACTTTGGATGTCGCACTGCATTCTTTTTTTTCTTTTTTTTTTAATTGTGATTTGGGTGAAAGTTTAAAACAAATTGGTTTTTCCATTCAACACTTCATACATATTTTGTTTGGTACATCACTCATACTTTATTAACCAGCTTCCTCATTTGCAAAATAAATGGGGTGGGGGGGAAGAGTGGGGGGCGGGGTGCCTGCTTATAATCTTACAGAATTACAGTGAGGATCCCACCAAAAATGCACTAATTTAGGAAGCTAGTTTATACACTACCACGGACTATTTCTGTGAGGCATAAGGACCGTGTACTGGCTGTGGAATTGGACTGACTTTAGTTTAAACTCCACTTTGGACCCAACTAGCTGTGTGACCTTGGGGAATGATACTATTCTTAGCAATGTTGTGAAAGTCAGAGGAGAGGCACCTTTAAGAAAGCCTTTGGACCAACCACTGATTTGGGTATCCACGTGGTGGACCATTGCAGGGCGTCATGTTGTGTGGAAACAGCCAGTCCCAAGAAGGTTGCACAGGAAGTGAGCTCTGGGCCCTGTGCAGCTCCATTTGTGTAACATGCTAAAATGACAAAACTCTAGAGACAGAGAACAGACTACTGGCCTCCAAGCCCACAGGGTCAGGGTGGATGGAGGAGGTGAGTGTGGCTGTGAGGGCACAAGGGGAGGGTCCTGTGCTGATGGAACTGTTCTCTGTGTCAGTAGCTGAGCTTGGGACACTGAACGATAGTTTCACAAGGTGTTACTGTTGGGGGGCAGGGGAAACTAGGTTAAAGGTACCCAGGATCTCTCTGGATTACACCTTTGAGCTACATGCGAATCTATTAAAAAACAACTCCAAACTCACGCCATTGAGTCAATGTAGACTCAAAGCAGCCCTATAGGATGGGGTAGAACTGCTCCTGTGGGTTTCTCAGACTGTACATCTTTATGGGTCTTTGTTGAAGCAGCTTGTGGTTTCCAACTGCTGGCCTTGCAGTTAGCAACTCAATGCATAACCACTACACCGCTAGGGCTCTGTTTGAATCTATAATATCTGGAGATTTTAAATTTAAATTAAAAATTACTTTCAGAGCAAACTTTTAAAGAAATACACATAAAGGTGGTCATCTGTTTCTAATAACAATTATTTTTACATTTATCAATTCAGAGGAAAAGAGCTAACCTATAAATATAACATCCAAAGACATCAGAATTTTTTAAAAATTGTATAAAGACTATATACCATCAGAACAAAAAATCTTACCATAGTGAATGATGGGGGGAGTGTGGAGTGGAGATCCAAAGCCCACGATTAGGCCACTGGAGATCCCCTTGCAGAGGGGTCTC